TTTAGGAGCTGCAGCCATAACTAGAGCTTACAAATCCTAAGAAACAAAGTTGCTATCATTACATATCAAGCCATAAAGCCAGCAAAAACAAGCCATATCGGAAGTGTCTATGACACCCAAATTATCACTGCTTCGCTTAGATGGCTAGACAGTTCCCATTTTTTTATAAGTATATCCCTGTAATATTCAAACACCCCTCTATCTAAAAACAATATGAGGAATCATCCTTGCTATAGCTACATGGAGATACAATCATGACAAGACACCAAGCCATGCTGCCACAAACACCCACTAAAATTAACACCGTAGTAAATACAAAGCTATCCACTTGGCACTTATCTATAGTGACTTACAACAAAGTATAGACCCTCTCAAAGTGTCCTAAGCAACTGGCCAGAGTACTCACACCTTTTGGGTAGAGAAGGGCGGAGTTTTAAATTAACCCTCATGAAACTGTGCCCAACTTTTTCAAACTATTGGAATTTTCTACTTAACAGATGATTTATTTTTAAAAATTCTTGCAGATTTATAATCAGGATAAAAAGTACAACACATTGATATAAGTAAGTTTTTGTTTTGCTGAACTTCATTTTTCACGTTGCGGACCCTATCTTCGAGCTGCCGCTCTAACTCTTCTGTTCGAGTTGTGGAACTTATTAGTCACCTCTTCCTTCTCCTGTCGGAGGGCTTCTAGCTCATGATCCTTCTGTCTTAAGCTGAGTTTGAGGGACTCCAGTTGAGCTTTAAGGCTTTCCACCTCGCTTGAGTTACTAGCATCAACAGCGGCTTCACTAGTATCGGCCATGTTTATAGTTCGATGGCGCAAGTGTCGAACACTCAACGAAGTACTGTCTATGCTATGAGTTCCAGTTGCTATCAAGTTCTTTAATTCTCTCCTTGACATCCAATGTCAGCCGCTTATCCTGGCAGGGTCGCCAATTGTAACGCCAGGCTTAAACGCGGCAGAGTCCTTAAGCAACTTTGTAGCAAAAATCTTATCACAAGAAGAACTAAGAATCATAATTACAACTCATTAATAAACATTAATAATCATTAGTATCATGAATAGATAATGAGTTAGGAATAATAGTTACAGTCTTTAGTCCAATTTTTGAGCAACTTCACAATCCATTGACAAAGAGCTGCATGAGCTAGTACAAAAATTTTGTGGGAAACTATATGGAAACTAGATATAGACTATTCTAGATATGTCAAAGGTGAAATTGTAGTAGGACTGTGGCAACCAGAATGATAACTTTGCCTATTACATTAGGTGTAGTGAGCTCTCCTTTGTCTGACTTGATGCTTTAAA